TTCCCTGGGTTCAATGGTTAAGATCCCGGTTCGCCTAAGATCCCGCATTTCCTTGCTCCCGAGCACCGGGATCTTAGGCGAAGACTGCTGTAGTAATATTAGTATTCTGAAATATTCAAAATGAGCGTCCAGTAAACTGAAATTATACTGTATTACATTTTGTATTTTGTACAAATATTTTCAAAGGGGTTTTTGTGGTTGAGAGGTTATGGTGTTCGCTTCTCATTCAATAGGTCCTGGGTTTGAACTCGGACAGCGGCGTAAAATTTACTTCTGTAAAATTTGCTCCTTTCACCTCCTTTCCTGCTCACAATGTTCTGTCGTCTGCTTTTGACTCCACTTTCTGCCCTCACACCCTCACCTCCTTTGCCCCCTCCTCTGAACTCCTGACTCTTTCCTGCAGCCTTTCTACTGCTACTCTTTGGCTTCTGCTTACTGCTGTCTTTCAGCCTCACCCCTGATCTTAAGGTAGGAACGATCTAATACCAAGCCTTCTTGGATAACGGCGAAAAATATCAGAGGTTCCTTGTGTACATTGAAGATCCCTTAGTTGCCCAAAATCGTTAAGAGAGGGCTTCGCCTGCCTCTCGGGCAAAATTCAAAATTTCCTACCAACTGAAAAAGTTTAATATGTCCTGTGCACTCTTATGACCTTATGCAGTTGCGAGCGCCGTAAAACACTTACCTTCCCAAAAAATCTTAATTATTCTCTCAGTCTTCTTTGCTGGTTATATATTTTGTTATCATAATTGCCCTGGTTCTATTCTTGCATCTGAAAATAAGTAAGAGAAATTCAAAAATATAAGCAGAGAAGTTAAAGAAAAAGTTAACATGAAAATAAACCTTTGGAAACTATTTTCTGTTTGAGTGAATACTGTTGACTTGTTTGGATTTCACTGACTATAGCCAGGTACCCATCCCCAGCTTGGTGAGGTGGAAAAAATTAATGTAAAGTACCTCTCCCAAGGATACTAAGTTGGGTCTCTGATGGGATTCAAACCAATAGCCTAAACACTAGGCCTCCAACACTACATTCACTACATATGCATGTACACTTCACAATTGCACACATACACATACACTCTCCTACACTGAAACACTTGCTCAATGAGTGTGCACAGTACACTCATACTTATAGTTATAGTCACACGTGCGCACAATAAACAAAATGGAAAAGTGCACATGTGTTGTCAGCCGGTGCAACAATGAGAGCATTTTATAATGGGACTGTGTGTAAATTTGCTCATCTCTCTTGATATCTCATTTGTCAACGTGGAGTAGAAGGTAATCTGATTATCTGGGTATTATGATAATTATGTCCATACAACTGATATACACCTAGTTTTGATTTGACTGTCATTGTTATCTTACTTTCTCCCCTGTCCTCTCCGTCAACTGCACTTTTTGGTCTCTTTCAATGTCGCTCCCCTTTTGCCCTGTCTCTCTTTCTCCTTCCGACGTTCACGCCTCTCTTTTCTTTCTCTCACTTGCTCTCTCCCTCTTTCTCTCCAC